AGGTGGAGGCACACACACACACACACACACTCGTGTACAGTCGGTGGTGGTATTCACCTTTATGTCGTTTGCAACCCGCCAATAATTAGAAGAAGAAGAAGAACTGCGCGATTTGTTCCGGAAGCACAAGCTGCACCGTCAGCTCATGTGCGCATGCGCCAAAAGAGTTGTTTTTAGCATGTAGCATTTCCTTACACCGCCTGATAACAGAGCGGATTCTATTTCAGTCTTTCGAAAAGGCAACGTTTGGAGTTTTATTCCAGGAAAAAAAATAAAACAGAGATGAGAAAAATTATAACGTTGTCTAGAAAGTAGGTCCGTTTAGGTCCACAAGTTGAACCTAATCGAGCGCATGTAGCGCAAAGCTGACAGTACGGGTCGCGCTTCCGGAACAGACGAACAAACAGGTTTAAAATGCGTTGGAGCTCACTTAGCTTCAGTTTAATCGATTGTCTGTGGTTGTTTCTGGCTTTGTGTTTCCTTGTAGCGTTCTGTGTGCACAAACTGACGGCCTGCGGGCTGAAATCAGGACAGACATCCGTGTTTGTCACGTTGTTTCAGGACCTTGTACGGTTCGGGAAAACAAAACAAACCTTGAAGAGGAGCGATTGGCTGCGAGTGTTGGACGTCCCGAAGCGGTACTGAGACCCAGATCATTGTAAATGTTTAAATTACTATTATATAATATATATGTGTATTATGGATATTAATGAAATTAACTGACTGAATATATGTTTAAAGATAAGTTATCTGTTAACACTAACTGGCTGTGTTGTTCCTCAGCTGGTTCTGGCATTTTTATCTGGTCTCTGTCTGCTGGAACAGTTTCCTCCTGGTCTTAAACCTGTCCTCCACCTGTCCCCCATGGCTGAACTGGACTATAATGGTTCTGACAGGTGTCCCAAGACCTGCCAGCAAAGGTCAGCTGTCCTCTGTCCTCTCACATTAGACCCACATCTGTCCTCTGTCCTCTCACATTAGACTCACATCTGTCCTCTGTCCTCTCACATTAGACCCACATCTGTCCTCTCACATTAGACCCACATCTGTCCTCTGTCCTCTCACATTAGACTCACATCTGTCCTCTGTCCTTAGACCCACATCTGTCCTCTCACATTAGACCCACATCTGTCCTCTGTCCTCTCACATTAGACTCACATCTGTCCTCTCGCATTAGACCAACATCTGTCCTCTGTCCTCTCTCTTTAGACACATCTGTCCTCTCACATTAGACCCACATCTGTCCTCTCACATTAGACCCACATCTGTCCTCTCACATTAGACCCACATCTGTCCTCTGTCTTTAGACCCACATCTGTCCTCTCTCTTTAGACACATCTGTCCTCTCACATTAGACCCACATCTGTCCTCTGTCTTTAGACCCACATCTGTCCTCTGTCTTTAGACCCACATCTGTCCTCTGTCTTTAGACCCACATCTGTCCTCTGTCCTGGTCCAGCTGCTGCTCTGTGTCCACTCCCTCAGGAGGCTGCTGGAGTGCTGCTGCGTCAGTGTCTTCTCTGACGGGGTCCTGCATGTGGTCCAGTATGTCTTTGGTCTGGCTTACTACGTGGTCCTGGGTCTGACGGTGCTCTGCACAGACCCCACAGCTGAAGGTGAGGCAGACTAGGATCCTTCCTGTCCTCTGTGGTTTCTGGTTCTGCTGAGGGATTTACATRGTTGTCTTTAGGTCCTGGTCCTCTCCTGTCTCAGCTGGACTGGATTCAGGGTGCTGGACTTGTCCTTTTTGTTGGGGCCTCCCTGCTGCAGCATCAGTCCATGGTTCTGCTGGCCCGGCTTCGCACCGGAAACACAGGTAGGTCTGAAAGTCTGGTTCTGGTTTGCCTCCTGAACTGAAGTGATCTCAGGACTTCGGTCTTCAGTCTTTAGAGGCTGAGAGACAAACATGGACGTAACAGGACAAGACAGACGGACTTAAAACCGTTTCCACAAAATCAAACTGTCCACTACACGTCCTGGATTTACAGATCTGAACCTGAGTGGTTTTTGTATTTAGGTTGGGATCAGTACCTTCATGWACACGAACTGATCCTACCTGAAACTTTAAACACAACCTTGACTTTTTACACTTTTCTGTCCTGATGCACACAGCTTTCTGACAATTTTATATACATTATATTTTTGTTATTATTGTTATCATTATTATTATTAGGCCCAAGCAGCAAGTGCTGCGAAGGCCTATTGAAACCCTTCCATTTATCATTGTTGTTATTATTATTATTCTCCTGCCTCCTTCGGAGCTAATTTGGAGGCCTTAACTTTAACGAAAACTCGTAAAACTCAAAGTAAACTCAAAGTAAAGCACACAGCTTTCTGACAATTTTATATACATTATATTTTTGTTATTATTGTTATCATTATTATTATTAGGCCCGAGCAGCAAGTGCTGCGAAGGCCTATTGAAACCCTTCCATTTATTGTTGTTGTTGTTGTTGTTATTATTATTCTCCTGCCTCCTTCGGAGCTAATTTGGAGGCCTTAACTTTAACGAAAACTCGTAAAACTCAAAGTAAACTCAAAGTAAAGAAC